CTGTTCTCGTCGTTTAGCGGCTGCCGTTCACCTTCTTGCGCAAAAAACCACCTCCCTTAAATCCAGAAGGAGCTGTCTAATTACGACTACACTATCTGAGGGATACGCAGTGGGACGCAGCGGAATATGAGTGTATCTTTCGCAAACTAGTTACTCTTAAAGTGCCTCCTTCGTGTGGCATGGCAGCTAGGCACCGAAAAAGTGCTACAGCTGGACGATTTTTTTGCACACTGTGGCACTACTTTTCTTCCGCCTACGTTAAGAATCACCGCGCATTCGGCGAGTAGGGTTTACTTAAGCCCCATGGTCTCATCCAGCCATCCAGCATGTCAGCTACTGGCCTTTACTGGCGTAAGCGGGCACACTACGGAACACTGAGGATATACCGCTCGGAGAAGGCATAATGCAGCGCATGAAATGGAAAAAGTGACACTTTCCGTGTGAATATCAAAAATTACGGGGTCTTATTTCATGAGGTTTCCCTTCGTTTCCATTTTTAGGATAACCTTCGGAGAACAAGTCCCACGGTGGTTTCACTGCACGTTTACCGCACCTTACTTGTGTATACACAGGCACTTTATCCCAATCTGGTGGTGTGAAAACAGTCGCTATAAATCCTGTTTGCGAGGTACAGCGTTCACACGCGGCGCACTCAAACAGTCGAAAAGGCGTTGATCGCAGAAAGCAGCTCACCAGTTCAAGTCACCATAGCCTCCCTATGGGATCGCCGCGATACATCAACGATGTTTTCCCAATCTGTCCACTATGTTGTTCGGAAAGAGAGTGAGATCTTGCGGAAGAACTTTGTGATTTTACACTACAGCATACTAGCAGTCAGTGTTCGCATGTGAACGTTGTTTCTGATGCATGTCGAAACACTGAGTATTCACACACGAGTTTTCGCGGGTGCCATATCAGTATACCCGGTAAGATTCCTTCTTCCCCTCAGAATTTATGGTAAAATGTTGACAACCTTAAGCAGTTTTATGTTGCAGACGAGATGGTATGCCCAGTCGTGCCGTGCAATTCATCTGTTACATCGGATGTATAATAGTTTGGGGACTAACCACAAATCTGTGTTGAGTCCCTGAATCCCAGCTAAATCTCTGCTTTCGCTTTGTTACTGGAACCAAATGTGCTAAGAGCGCGGTTCGATTCAGTGCTTTTGAGAGGTCGTAACAACAAGTCCAAGCAGCTCTGATTGGCCTTATCGCCGTAATTTGGACTTTTGTTGATAGTCTTTGGAGGTCCACAGTACACCATCGTCGCAAGACAGATTCTTGAAGCTGAAGGATAAGCCCCACTTCACAGAGATTCACTTGATGTTGATTTTTCTGAAGTCGATCATGTTAATTTAGTTTGTCTCCGCTGCTGCTTTACTGCGAAGTGCATCGATTTTGACCCTACATCATTCATAATGCAGTCGTGTATGACGATGTTCACCTGTAGATATTTGGTAACCTATTTATGCAATTCACTTAAGAAGTCCATCATGTGTTGTTTGTTTCCTTACTTTGAATACTGCACTTACGGAAGTTGGACGTTAGGTTCACCATTTATACGTTATTTTCGGTTGCATTCTACCGACGAAAAGTCTCCTACCCGTTTGGGATCCAGGTGGCCAGTTCTTTAAGTATTGATTTCTCTTGCACTATATGATTCGGGCTGACCTCTCTACACGTTATTGATCCCCAGTTATTGTACACATAAGCATAATTTAACTGTACGCGATCATGAACTTCGATTTTCGTCTCAGGTCAGGGGGTTATCTGAATAGCCTGTAGATGGGATGTGTACAGTAGTAAGCGTACACAATTCTCTTCACCGTCAACCCTAAATCTTTGCTTTCGGCCATTTTAGCTGAATGCACTTATTTCTAAGGTATTGATACCCACCGCTCTATTCGGATAGTGATAGAAACACATGCCTTGCACAACAACGGAATATCATCATAGACAGGAGATTCAGCTGAGCTTTCTGTTAAGACCAATGGGTGTATTTCACCAATTACGTGCATTTCCGGGTTCAATTAGAACATAAGGTTCGGGGGAGGGTGACTCTGCTTTCGTTGGACAGTCACTGATCTATTGTGTCTGCAAAGCGTAGGTGATTGAAAGACTCACTTGAGGGGGACTTCAAATATCGCCCAACAAACCCATGCTTCATAAACAGTTCATCTCTCATCTTCTCATTAAAGATCAGGATTTAAAACTTCTTGATGTGAATGATCAGAGGTCACCGACTGCAATTAGGATTATGTACAGACCGCTGCCACACCTGAAGTGCTCTATAATGCATTCAGTAGGTAGTCATATGTTTCTTTTTATCGAATTTGACTTCAGGCAAGGTAGTGTGAGCCATATGAGCCATTTCGGTTCACACATGCCTAAGACATGATGTGGATTTCCCTCCTATTTTCAGGGACGAACGAAAAGGTATGGAGAGATAATCTGCCACCCGGATTTTTCCGACTCTCGCCTGTTGGTTTACAATCGTAGCCACGTGCGTTCCCCACATGCGGAATCCCAGTCCAGTGGATCTGGGGTAAGTGCTCCGACCAGCCCTTCATCACCGAGGTCATTCAGTGGGTTCCAATGGAGTCGTCAAAACTCTGTATACAGATACAGCACAACCATGTCGAGCTCAGAGGATCATGCTATTTCATTGTGCGATTTGTTCCATTTGGCCCTTCCACACTGCGGCCACGTACAAACATGTTGGTCTAAACCCGTATTATGGCTTCCAAACCGTCACTCCGAACCATCTCAAAAAGCACCTGATACCGTAGTAAGTGGTCTGCTTCCTGTCCAGGCTTTTGTTTGTTACTTTTCTCCTTTAAATTTGTCGCGGCGCTCTCCCCCTCAAACGTTTTAGGCCATATTTTTTTAGTTGTTGCCGGTTGTCGTGTTCGAAAAGTTGGGTTATCGTCTTACGCATTTTTATTTTACATTTCATCGATAGGTTATTCGTCGGTATGAACTAAATTCAGACAGAGATAGACTTAGGTTGTGCATCTTATACCCAGCTGAAAATTAGATATCGACCGTGAAGACACCCTTCACCCATAGACATGCGAATCAGAGCTGGTTGGCCGTAGGCTAATCTGTGAGCTGCTTTCATCATGGAGGAATTAATAGTGACTCGTGAACACACTCGGATGACCAAGTTTGTAACTTTTGTTGAATATTTTGTTACTCACACCACTTTCAAGTCACCCGACTTTCGACTGAGCATTTTGTATGTCTATTTGGCGTAGAGTTCTGCGTTTACCTTTTTTGAGTTTTTTGCTCTGGTGATTCAGAATGTCATGGTCTAATTTTCCCTGATTTGACAAATCTATGAATCTGAGATAATCAGACTCCGCTGTTTTGTTACTGGATAACCCTTGAATACGGTTTCAATTGTACTTATGAGATGAAAGCTGGAACGGCGCTTGTCCATGAGGTGAGACATTCGTTTTGTCTGGGAACTCTGGATGCCAACTATTTCCTCCTGTACTTTGTCGAGGTATTTCTGTAGTTGGTCAGTTTGGTTGCTTGCTCGTTATCGGATTGGATGAAATTACTTTTTTTGCCGTCATTCAAAGTTGATTGTGAGGAGAGACCGGAGAGACACCACAAGGGGAAATGGGTTATAAAGCTGCTGGAGAGACCACTAACAAGATACACTATTCTGGATTTCCCTGTGGGAGCAGCAACTTTTCAGAAGGAGGGATATCTGTACAAGATACCTCCCATACTTTGAACGGATGAATTGTCGTTTAACGAATCCTGGTTCGGAGATAACTCAGCCTCGTCTCTCATTGACTGACAAAGCTTTTCATCCTAGTTTGCTCGAAGAGAAAATGATTCTTACTGACCTATCAGCTCGTATCCGGACTATCATATATTTAGCGAAATAACTGGGAATGCACCAGTGCTTGCTGTTTCGTAGCGGCTTCATGGAACTGTTTGTTTCGCTTCAACGTAGTCGAAACCTGATTCGATATCTGAAGGATTTCGGAAGTTTCGAGTTGTATAATTAGGGAGAAAGATGTATACGCACCGAAGAGTCGCATCACATTGTTGCAAAAGAAGCTGAATGTCTAGTCACAACAGGAGATCATGAAATGGCGTAGACTATTTTAGAATTTTTGGAACCAGTCACTGTGTTCCTTGTTCCATTCAAAGAAGTGGTAATCATGACGTCGGATTAAAACCTCTATAGGTGTGCCTTTGTGATGTTTCCAAACGACGGATCCTTGTCCACCTTTGATCGAACTTGGAATGAACAGCGTGGGAGGACAAAATTCAACAGAAATTGTAATGTACCCAATCATGGATATATTGGAATAGAGAAATCAGTCGACACCCGCAACAGTCCCGTCCAAATTGTCTGAGTGCTAGATGATTAGGGCGTAAAAATTTGAATTTTGTAGCAAGCACAGAACTGTTGATGACATGCACGTCTGTTGAAAACGATATGTTGCGTACAGTCTGGTCATCGGGTTGACAGAGAACAAAACTATCACATGTATCAAAATTCAATGTATCCTTGTCACTAATTACACGATAGTCCTGTAATAGCCATATTCATCTGTCCCACGTTCATTCAATCCTTCAGGGTATTTTTGAACAGCTGTTTTGGATACCGAATTTGGAGTTTATAGATCTTTGTGTGAAGGATCACTAGACTGACGCAGGTTGCTACGGTTTTAACCATCAGAACAAGCCTTCGTGCTGCCCCGATGGCAAGTTACCATCTGCGAAGTTAGTTGGCTTGCATTATCACTAGCCAGTGCACGTAAGCAGTAATAGCGAAGCAGGTGCGGTGGCTTAGTCAAACAGAATAAGATTCAGTGCTCATGAGGGCGTAAAATAAACGGTAAGACGCGTGCTGTCGAACTCCAGAGAACAGTGAGGCTTGGTGTTCGGCTTGACGGTCTTGTACAAACTTTGTGGACACAACTTCGTTCACTTAGCAAATTTCTTGTGCGGGATGTGCAACAAGTATATAGGTTAGACAGACAGGCAACTCCATGTGCGATTCATGGATTCATGCCTTTTCCTCCACACAATTCAGTCGAGTTCAAAAAACTTGAAGGCCACTTAGCCATTGCACTCCACGCACTTGAGTCAAGTCATGCGAGAAACTTCGATGGTACATGTATACTCCAGTCAGGATGCAGGTCACACGTTGGACGGGCGTGCACTGAAGCACTTGAGCACAACACACAGTTGAACTGCATCAACCGCAGCGATATGTGACTGGGACTTACTGCACACCTTGGTAGGCACACTGGCTAGAGGTCATATAGGAATCTCAAAAACGACGCGCCACAGCCAGCACAACAACTTACGGACATTTTTCAATCCGTTCCAATCCGGCTATAGGCTTTCGTCTCTAATAAATCAGACGATCCGGGGCCTTCATTTTCTCGACGTTTAGCTACTTGAAATGAACTTTTTCCAGAACAACAGAACCCGAAGTGAATAGAGGCTTAGTGATTCGGTCGTTGAATTACAATAATCATCGCAAGTGAGGGATCTGGGGAATATCTGTTTAGTATCCGGTTATCAAAAGTTTGGTGCATGAGGTATAGTGCCTTGGTGCTCACTGTCTCTGCTTTTTTCAAGTCAAGTGGCGTAGGATAGATTAGTAGACAGTCAAGAGGAGTCATCTTCCACACGCTCATTATGACGCGGCATGTGACGTGCGTGAAAAATCTTGTTGACGTTACTGTGTCCAATGTTCCAACAATGCATTAGCGTTACTCTACTCCACTGTTAAACCATTGCCGCAGAACACTAGGTAGGTAATTTCTGAGGACTCTAAATAGAAATCTATGTCTCATGGTGCTTCAGACTCGTGGGATGTGAAGGTCTGACTGCCTGGTCATATATAAGTGTTTGGTTCACGAATCAGACACTGTACTGAACAGGATGTTTTTTCCGTTCAAACTGCCCCAGCACCAGTTAGATGGGCAGCAACTCAGGCCAAATTTTGTTACAACACTACTTTTTATACCCTCTATAGAATAAAATGGGGTGAAGTGAACAAGGTCAAGATTTGGTCGCACTTTGTCAGCGAAAATTCGAAATAAATCGTGAGTTGTGTTGCAATGAGTCCATTAAAGATCAAATTCATCGGGTTCAAATATGAAGACGATGAGGATGGGAACCCAACCTTTGTTCATCAAACAAAAAAGCAGAAAGGTAAGGATTTGGTAGTTGAAGGTGTGTAATATCAGAGCTGATGGTAACGTTAAACGAAGCGGGTTTCTATATTCCCTTAGTGCTTTGATCCTCAATCTAAGGTCGTGACCCTCAAATGGATAGTCTGTTCAATGGCTTCAAAATCCACAGGACGAACGGATTATGATCATGGTTCCTTAATGGTCCCGTTCGAGTCGACTGATCAATAAAACGAGCGTCTTTCGCGACAGTTTGGAGAAGAAGGTGTTACTCCCTTTTTTATCAGTGGCTTCACCATTGTCAGAACTTGAGGTGCTCCGGGAAAACATCCACAACTTGAATTTAAAGTGGCTATGGCGCCATCTTGTGATGATTCTGAACTTGGTAATAATACGGTAACAGTGCGAAAGTTGCAGTGGGAATCTGTCTCGTTCAAAATGATTCTAACCAAGAGCGAAGAGTAGGAGGGCAAATCAACAGGAGTGTGGACAAAGAAGTATGGCTTATATCTCCTAAGAGGATTCATTCCTTCTTGTTTACGTCTGTAGAATCGATTTGCTCTCAGAACCAATTTCGTTCCCAGTTCAACCGCTCGTTGTTCACGCACTGTGTTCAACTGTCCAGTCGTTCAATCACTATTAATCTGCGAACCCGTTTCGGATGTCTGCCAATCGCATCTATGTGTCTACTCGTGAGTGCATCTAAACAGGAATAAATATGCCGACAGTTTGCAGAAACCAGCACATCTTCCTGGTACCTAGATGGATTGATCTGGTGGCCGCTGCTCCTTCTTCCGAGTTTGGCAATTAGCCTGAAAACATTTCGTCCCCAGTTGAGGAGACATCATCAGTACGCATTTGAGTGAGTCTCCTTGATTGTGGATGGAACGTCTGCAAACTGCTTGCCAAGCTCGGTGAGGTGCTCAAAGGCCACATTTCCAGCCATCGTTAAACGCACCCTAACTACCAGCATTTCGATGCAGTGACAATTCATTCACCACCTTGACTTTACTACTATTGTGTTTCAGTCAGCACGACAACCATCAGTGCAGAGTACCAGGGAAACGGCCAGAGAACCAAATGAACTTGAAAGTTTGGAAATTGCGTCAAAACCCATTGCGTTGAAGCTTTACTTTGAGTCTGGAAAAACCACCATCCTACGTTTTGATAACCGGGAGGTCCGCGACCAGTGCCTAAATGTGTTACAATATGTTGTTCAAGCGAACAAGCTGAGAAACGGCTACCCCGATTTCGGTACGTTTCCCCCGTTCCGTATGGCTAATGCCGCGCGTCATTTCTAGAGGAATCAGTTGCCGATCTTGAGGTTTATGTCTGTGTTTAGATTTAATTAATAGTGGTGAACCGGTTTGCTGTTGCGAGTGAAAGGCTCAGTTTAACTGGGCCTTAACTAAGTTGATCTGTCAATGACCCGCCAAAAGTTCATACGAGTGGGCTGATTTCCCTCAGATGAGTGTGTGAATTGTGTTGGACTGTCAAATTTTTGTGCGTGCTGTTCGGCTGGGAAGTGTAGGTATGCTGTCCGCTTGCCCCTGTTACTTAGTATCCATTGACTCTAGTAGTAGAATCGTGAATTTCGCACGGAGTACTTCAGCCCATTTCTCAAATCTGATCTCAATTCTTGCTATTCGTTCATTCCGCGTGATTCCCGACATGGCTGTTTTATCCACTCTCATTTGTCTCAAATGAAGACATTCCAATTCTCATTGTGTACAATTTTGGATTATTTCTTGTGAGGAAAATCGTAATCTCTCAGTCGTACCGTTCAGCTGTAGCACCCTTTCGGTGCCTAGCCGCCATGCTACCCGAAGGAAGCACGAGGTTTGGGATACTGCCAGGTTGCCCAAGTCTAGACAGGGGAAGTCGAGAGGCGGAAGTTGGATTCGAACCACGGACCTGCCGGTCAGTAAATTCGCGCTCTAACTACTTGGGCCATCTCAGTCGTAGCAGATCTCATCCTCTTTTAACCTCATGTGTTTTGTGTAGTGGAAGGGAAATTGGCTTTCTGTACAGTCTGGAGTAGCTGCGTGTACGAGTGATTGTTTTTTTCCTGGTGAAGTCTGGTTTTGTTACTTTTACATCGAATAGTATGAACCGTGGAAGTTGGCCAACTATCCCATTTACAAATCTCTGGCAGTAGCATCTGCCACGTTTTTATGACATAACACACTGCTTATAAGGCCGCCGAAAAGTCCTTGACAGCTCACGACCCATTTCACCTTTATGGGCCACATTAGATTATATTGGTCTCCCAGTTCCCTTGAACAGCAAATTTTACACAATCATTTTTACACAAACATTTGCAAGTAAAATTGGAAAACTCAATTGGATTTCTGATTATAGTAGTCTTCGACTTCATGTGCTGCACAATGGCCGCCTAATGTTGAATGGCGTTCAGGTGTCTCATAAACAAAAGATTCAGTTGAGTGTCCAATTAAAAACAGCGGTTTGCAGACTGCACGTCTCGCCGCTGCCGCTCTATTGAAAAGTACTGCAGTTTTAGGGCTCAAAAAGAGCCTGTACCCTGAAGAGTAATCGCGTGGTACCGGTGCCGAGAGTGTTTTCCGTTGGGAGTAGGAGGTACCACTGAATAGTGTTATTTTTGATGACTGCTGAGTTATTTGGCAGTTGGGGGCTCAGAGGGTGCGGTAAATTCTTCCACTGCTGCATGTGTTGTGGTGAACTTCCACGTTCCGCTATTAGTCTGCGTCCGCAGCTGTTCGCCCTCCGGGGTTAGAAAGAACGAACCTTGGGTTGCACAGTGCGCGATAGGACCTCACGGGGAAACAACCGAACCCCCCTAGGTCGGATGCACTGGGAAGTTCCTCAAAGGCCACTGTCCCTCTTTCAATTGATTGTCTTTTCCTCTACCCTTTCATATATCCAGTTATTTCGGCTATATGGCTGGATTCTAGTTTTGCCTCTCTGCTCTCTTTATCCTTTAGACACGTTTTCTTTTTGATTGCACTTCAAAGCACATGTATACTTCCAAATGTTTTACCATAGAGCATATCTATTTTGACCGGCTTTGGAAGTTTTTTATTTGAATTCTCAACGTGTTCAGTACAAATCATAGTTAAACGGTGTAGCACCTCCAAGTTGGTTGGTGCGTTTGTTTGTGCCATTCCCCTCTAGTCAGGTGAAGAGGCTATAATATATTTTTCCCAATCGGTCTGTGGTGAACACTGGCGCTTTTAGCTCTATTTTGTGCACTCCAGAACACGTATGGTGTGTGATGCCGAAGATTTACGCGAAAGATCCATTTGCCACAAGTTTACTGACCAAGTTTTCGAGGGGCCGTCATTACTTTTGCCTGACGGATTCCGAAGCACTTCTCTGCCGCCAAAATCTCCGTGTACCTGTGCTGATGGTCCCGGTAAGTGAACCTCAGTATGACTGACATTCTCACATATGCAGCGAGATAACTATGCCGGATAGTTGAAAATTGGGTCAAGCACTGATCGATGTCAAAGTTCTATTTTGTATCTGTCCCCACACCACAGGATTATAAGATCCGGGTTTGTTTTCATCCTACATCTCATTACTGATAATAACGGATGTCCGTCAAGTATGTCTTAGTGGTCACTGCAGTTTGCGTGAGCAGATCGTGATTGAAGGTAGTTCGTACACAACACCCTAGGCATGTGTTGTTTAGGGCCCTAAAGTGCACAGTACATCCTGCTAATCCGGAATGGTTTGCACTTTTATACGAACTTTCCTATCCAGGTCGTTTGTACAGAAAGAATATGGCGGTGTATCTAACGGAATCCGCATTCTTATATGATAACATAAACGCGGTGTCGTATGTTTGGTTCAATTGGAGAGGCTTGTGGAGAGGGTCAATTGATAAACATTGCTCGACCTTCAATCAGGTGTTACTCCGACACTTTAGTTGACCGTTTTTCACCTACATAGGAAATCCTCACGGCAGTGGAACTCGTCAGCCTCTCCTGAGGTAGTGTAAACTTTCGTCACTGTTCTGCATACATCTCTTCACTCCCTTATTTATCCGGACTTTTCACCATTCAAGTTTAACTTTCAACTGATCACCACTACTGTTGTTATTCCATGTCTCAAATGTGAGGTTCATTCCACGCAGCTCTAACGCTTCTCCTCGCTCTATTGTTCTCTCTCCGAGAAAACAGCCAAACCCACACGTATGATCGCAAAAATGGACATTGTATGTTGTACGTTCACCTCGTTTCTGCCAAGCCACCTTTTGGACCCGGTTTGCTTCGAAATCTGGCTAATTCTAACCTCACATTTCTTTTGTTTGAATACTCTTCGCAGCATCGATTGGTTAGCACGAAAAGAGGAGCAATGAACTGATATTCTATCCTTACTAGAAAAGCTAAGCGACCAGGCAATGACAGTTATTAGTCCGATACATGATTGCAATATATGCGCCTGAAGTTTTCCTTCTATTCTTCATTCACTTTTACAGGGTGTGAAGTTCCAGTTCTATGATATTAGAACTAGGTCACTAGGTTTTCGCGGACATCCCATGTTTAACCTAAGTTAAATCGTTTTATGTTTATAAAGGAAACTACTCATAAGGTTGCTGAAAACTCTTCGACAGCCCACGATTGGTTTCGCCCTTCTTGGGGCTCATCAGGTAGCCTCAGTCCCCGAGTTTCTGTCAGCCTATTAAGTCTGACTTATGTGCCCCGCACTAAAGGGAATAAACAACAGGATAGTTGAAAATATTAAAAGAAAACATTCGGTAACAGTTGATAGTATCTGATTGTCTATAACAGAACGGTTGAGCAACTCTGGAATCAAACGTTCTTTAGTGTCCAATGTATGTTGTAGCAGAAACTAATATCAGATCATCTCTTAAGAACACATAACAGCTAATTCAGTTTCTTCTCGCCATGTACGAAACAACTATATTTCGAACTTTTTGATGGACATTGTACAAACAATGAAAATGCATATGACTGCGCCTGCCTGATGAAACCCAAACAGAATGAAGCCGGCTGGGTATTGTAGAAGATTTCAGAGTAACGTTATGAGTAGTGTCCCCTCAAGAAAATAATGCGTCTACTCAGGTATGCGTCTAAGGCAATGAACTTTTGGTCTCCACTTGTTCTGCTCATCTGTGCCCGCCACTCACCTTGCCACAAAGGTCGCCCCGTTCGACACTTGTGTATTAGCAAGTGCTGCTGCTGTGTGTGTGTCAATGTGCCCATGCGCGTTCCTGCCCCGCTGGCTGAGCTTTCGTTGACCTGTTTTCCCATTGGTTCCGTGTGAGCAGAATCTGGAGATTGACGTCGGAAGGGTAACCGCAACCCACATTACTGAGCCAACATTTCGCGCGCCGTTCTTTGGTGTGCGGACGCTGGTACTCCACTGTGCCGGTCAGTGACAGACTTGTGCACTTGTTGACGCTACGAACGTGGACATCTGAGGTTTGTGGTGTAAATTTGCTTACTCTTGTGGAACGAGTACCGTAGACCTTCTAATCCAATCCTTGCTCTTGATAATCGGGATTTTTGATCCAATGCGTCACTCAAAGTTCCGTATCGGGAACCTGAACAGTACTCAATTTAGTTCGTGAGATTCGATTGTCAGCCCGACTTAGTTTACACCCCGTCGCAGTTGCAGCCTTATCATGGATCCGTTCCGGCGCGATCCCTTCCCAACTCCTGGATTTTCCCACCACTATGATCCGAAGACTTCGGCTGTGCCTGCCGAATTACGGGAGAGTTTCGCTGAAATGGGCGAGGAGCATCGGGACTTGCATCGGAAACGGCAATTCACTAGACAGAGACATGAAGATAAACGGAAGTTCCTTGTGTCTCTCAACTCTTGGATGGATGATGCATTGACTGCTCCCATTACCTCAGAGGAGGATGATAACCGACCAGACTACTGTTACACGGAGTGCGCTGCGGTAACTAAGGATGAAGAAGTCGCCTCACAAGAGGACAATCATCGGTCAATCTGTGGTTCTTTGGGGTGCTCTCCAATAAAAAATGGACAGCAAACATTCATCAGAAGACAACGGCGCTCATTCGCATTGCGGGTTTTTGGGGTGCGCTCTACTAACCACTTGTGAGCAGACCGTTCCACCCACCATGGGTGCAGGGTTCTATGGTGAGCCCGTATATCCGTCAGTGGAAGTGACACATATTGGTATTATCCACTTCCAGACAGTTTCTACACAGTGCCTCAGGTTCGTGAAGTTGCTAGCCTGGAAAAGGCGTTTCGAAACCTGGCTCGACGGCTTTTCAATTTTTGTGTGTGCTATACGACGTGACTTAGTTCTGACTATCAGTCGTGGACTACATCATGCCAACTTTGAGCTTTTTCCAGCAATACCCACCTACGAGGGTTTTTTTTCTCAATTTACGTATTGATGTCTGCCAAGTGAGTATATACACAGAACTCAGTACACGGTGCAGGATTCTGGTGTGTTTAATCCTTCCTAATCGGATTCAAAATGCTGTAAACCTTAGCCAGGTGAACGCTTTCTTCCTTAATTGAGATGTTTTTTTAGAACAGATGAAAATAAGGCCCACGTGATAGGCTCCATAAGAGCGGAACGGCTCGACGGCTTTTCAATTTTTGTGTGTGCTATACGACGTGACTTAGTTCTGACTATCAGTCGTGGACTACATCATGCCAACTTTGAGCTTTTTCCAGCAATACCCACCTACGAGGCAGTCTTTTCTCAATTTACGTATTGATGTCTGCCAAGTGAGTATATACACAGAACTCAGTACACGGTGCAGGATTCTGGTGTGTTTAATCCTTCCTAATCGGATTCAAAATGCTGTAAACCTTAGCCAGTTGAACGCTTTCTTCCTTAATTGAGATGTTTTTTTAGAACAGATGAAAATAAGGCCCACATGATAGGCTCCATAAGAGCGGAACGTAGATTGAGAAAACACTGCCTCGTAGGTAGGTATTGCTGGACAAAGCTCAAAGTTGGCATGATGTAGTTCACGATTGATAGTCCGAACTAAGTCACGTCGTATAGTGCACACAAAAATTGAAAAGCCGTCGAGCCAGGTTTCGACCGGCACAGTGGAGTAGCAGCGTCCGCACACCAAAGAACGGCGCGCGGAATGTTGGCTCAGTGATGTGGGTTGCAGTTTTCCCTTCCGATGACAGTCTCGAGGTTCTGTTTGGCGATGCAGTCACACGGAACCCATGAGAAAACAGGTCAACGCAGACTCAGGCAGCGGGATAGGAACTTATATGGCTTCGCACATTCAAACTCGGACAAAACCGAATCGATATGCGAATTATTGGGTTTGTCCAGTTAGACGCACACCATTAAGCGGGTAACTATTGATCTTTTAGCCCAGTTGAAGAGTGTAATACTCGCTGCTGTCGTTCAGTATGGCGAAAAATTCTCCGGCACAAGAGTATCAGTGGGACTCTCCCAGAAGCCACCGCACTAGTATAGTGTCTCGGGAGCACTTTCAGAGAGAAGACAATTGATCTCACTGGTTCTTTCGAGGTGTTGCGTATTTGAAAATTGTCTCGAGAGCAGTCGGGAAGGAATCGATGAGCAATGTTATTGAAACAAAAACACGGATTTGGTATTGCTTTCTAGCTCAAACTTACTAACTAGGCTGTCATCAGGTTTGATGAGTATATGACTAGAAGTCGTTAGTGTAATATCTTTTAGGTCTGCATTTTTGCCGCCGTGCAGAACCACCTAATAAATTTAATGGTGTGATTTCACTGCAAACGTTTGCTTTGAAACTTAAGTTCCTATATTTTAAACAAAATACTACGCCACTAAAACACCCAAGCGTCTTTCACTGCATAACACCGACAATGTTTACATCTCTCCATGCATGCTATTTTGGCGGGAAATCACCGCCTCACAACCTGTACCTATCCATTTGCAGTTTTCATTCGTCCGTCAGTGCACGTCGAGGAGGGATGGCCAGTTCATCCTCTGTATCGGAAGGGGTGCTCCTACTGGTGCTTGTAAATTGGTCCTTCGTTTGTGTAGCGGAGCGGAAGCTGAATCTTTGCATGAAATGTTTGCGCGGTACGTTTGAACTTCCCGCAGACGTAAGTTCTAGTGGATTTTACCAGAGAAGCCGACCAGAATTGTCCCATTGTGAGAGACGATCTATCTTGACAGGAAACCGCTGAAAAACAAACTGTTTTTTGTAGAAAATTTGTTGATTTCAACTTCCCCTTATTCCGTCTGCCAAATTAAATAAATCTTAGCAAGTACCCATTTCTTATATTTCAAGTCACGTCTCCTTGTTGGTATTAGGTTGTTGGAAATCTGATCAGTGTGAAGCGATTTATGCATTGCGTCAGAAATGATTCTGCAGCTTGGTATTGTCTAGCTTATAGCCATCAACAACAACTCGTATAGTCTGAAATACAATCTTGGCCAAATCGACTCGAAGATGCCATGACAATCAGTCATCATTGCTCATAGCTTGATGAATTTCCCGGAGTGTAGTAGCACACTAGCCCAGATGATGTGGTTTGTAAGTAGTTATGGAAACGATAAAACTGAGTGAAAGGACCTAGAGTGGCTCCTGACCGAAGTCAAAGGGATTTGTGCATCTGAAACATCACGAAACGCTTGGGTTCCTTTGGTGCTACTCGCCTTTCAGGATGGGGACCGCGTGATCCTCATCGTGCCTGGTTGGAGACACTACAAGATATGGCTGCCAACCGATGTCAGTGGCGCTCTTGTTGTCAGTTTCTATCCGGATTGCCTGAGTAGGTCTGGAAGTATAGGCACCTCGGAATGATTGTTGTAAGCCAGCACTAAGTCCCTTCCCCATCCACCTTTACTCTTTTCTTTGCAACAAGGCTTTCAAATAAATCATGGTTGTACGACAGTGAAGCATCGGTGTAGAACGCTGATGTCATGCTGCCGAGGATGATGAAACATCATGTACCACTTTTGAAAGTCTTCGCTATAGGGTATGGTACAATATCGAGGTCTCAAACATTTCTGTGAAATAGCTAACTTTCTAGGTTCATATACACAAGTATCGCGATCTTGGGTAATGAGAGGGCGAACAAATATGAGAATAATTGGCGTCCGTCATATCAATGCGCATGAGGTAATCATTCATTAAACCGCACAACACTGAACATCGCCTAATCTTCGCCTTATGTTTGTTTCCTTACATAGGTTGATGAAGCAGGCACAAACCCGCCTTCGAAACTCGTCTTTGATGAGACCTCATGAATACTATTTCCGAAAGTAAGCATTTTGTTTTAAATTAGTAAATCCATGCAGGTTTGTTCCGAATTTTCATTCATCGCGCAGCCACCGTGTGCGTTTTTGTTCATCAGGAGTTCGAAAAGCGGCCCTGTGATCTGTGAGATCGATGTCTTGTCGCCTGTTGGGCCGAAGACGGTACCGCCTCATGACTTTTGTGCCCGTATAGGGTTGTCTGCGTTCCGTGATACGCTTTCAAAGTGAGACCGTTTTTCAGGGTCATTGCCATGACATTTAATGCTCACTATCGTGGGCTCACTTGGACATTTGCTCCGATTTCTCACTGATTGCGTGAAAAATCGTCTATAGAAGGGGTCGAGTGACTGTGCATTGGGGACTGAAGTTACAAAAAGCGTAATTAAGATACCGAAGTGCGTCTTACATCTACCGTGATCTGATCAGAATGTTGAAGATGTCCTAAGGGCACTTTTGTTGCTGTTTGTTTAGGGCCGGTCTAAGATAACTTTGTTTTCCGTTCAGCTTTGTCATAGTCATTTCGAGCTCGAGGTGGCCCAGTGTTTAAGGCGCGAATCTTCTAACTGGAATGTTCGTGGTTCGAACCCAACCTCTGCATTTCGACTGATCCTGTTTAGTATTCAGCAATCTGGCAGTATCTCGACCCTCGTGCTTCCTTTGGGAAGATGGGCATTGCATGTACGCACCGAAAAGGCCCTACAGCTAGGCCATATTTTCCATTTGCCAACGGCATTATGGGGAGACATTTTTTGAAAGTTTGACTGGATGTAAGTCTCGGGAAAATCGTTCAGTAGCAGTCAGTTACATCTTTTCATTCCTTTGCGGTTCGTATGCATAACTGGCACACGTGACGATGGATCTTCACTTTAGTTTCCGCTTTCCTTATTTTCTAGTCTTAGGTAGTGTTTCGTTCCAGATGGTTTTGGTAAACACTTGATGGATTTGATACAAAAGCTTCAGGTGGCCAAGCGAGTGAGGTTACCCGGGGTAACTGAGCTGTGAGTCAGGTGTAAAGTCAGTCAGCAAAATATCTTTCGACCTGCACAATAAACGGTTGTTTAGAACTGGTACCGAAGTCTTGCGAACGACAGGCTGAGTTCATAGTCAAATACTGGTACTGGTGCCTATGGGGTAACTCGTTAGAGAGCGGATTGGGATCGCTGTTGTTCCATAAGAAAGAAGACCAATATAAGTGTAGTGTTCCAGAATTGAAACAGTGTACGCTTCGCACTGGTGTACTTGAAAGATTGTTATCCAATAGATATAACCGGGAGTTGTGTTCATAAAACCCAACAGGAATAATCAGTTAAACTGTTCTGAACCAGATCCGATCCCCAAGGTATCGACCGTATGGCTCGGACACCCGTACTAACCGACCAGACCGTTTAACCTACGTTCAACTAGTTGGAAGAGACCTTGCCGGTCCGTTCTCTAGCTGCCTTAAAAATCAACCAACGTAGTGGCGTACTCACTCGGCGTGATGAAGCTTTTTTGGCGAAACGAAATATTGGCTTAGCTAAGAATGAACATACTGTTAGCCAAGTACTTCTGAAACAAGGATTTCTCTATCAGTCCAGAACATTTCACACTTAGCCAATTTACTTTATCACTCCATATGTCTTACATATTTACGAGCTTGGTAGTGTCCAACGAAGCGATGTCACAGATTAGTACTCGTTCCAGAAGGAATATACAAAAACGGAGCATGGCGGTTTCCCTTACCAATGAAGAACAAGGAAGAGACTTCTGAAAACGGAGGCCACTCCTCTGGATAGTCCACCACCTAGAAAGCGACTTGTTCAAAAAGAGGCAAGATACCTCGTGCTTTCTCAGTCTATCTATCCTGGTGGTGAATCACACACTTGGATGAGACTCAGGGGTTACTCTGGGAAGCCTGTTTTGGTTAGGCCAATGTAGGTACCCAAGACTAATTAGCTCTATCAGAACACTTCCATATAAAACGGCTTTTAACTGTCAGACAAGTACATAGAGGTAATACCCTAGTGGAACGTAGAACTAAATTGAAAGCGGAATACAACCGTTAGAAACTATTCGGTCTTGGGTTTGGCTAGGTTATAGTAAGCATGATACTGACCACATTAGAGTGCATTTATGTGGGGAAAACCTCAGTGCTCTGAAATCACCGTGTTGATTTACCCTTCTTTGTTCAGCTCGGAGCCATTGCCGTTACCGAATATTGCCCTGCTCTATGATCAGCTGGATTTCCCATGGATCGATGACACCGACAGTGGCGAAAGCGTGGTAGGTACACATGCTGGGGGACTCACAACGTCGAAAACCCGAACTGTCAGTCATCAAAAAAGCTCAAGTGTATGCTCAGCCGCAGAAAATGCAATCAAGTCATGGTCCTGTGATTTGTCAGACGATCCTGAATACGTCAATATTATGAAAACTGACCGTCAGCAAGAATTTCCCGGTCTGAACAAACGTCAATCGTCTCTTACAACTGGAAAACTTGTGGGTTCGGTGGTCAACACAGGGAACCCCCCTCCGGCACAGTATTCCTCCATAAGAAGCGTCAAGAGGTAAGAATAAACAATGGAGTCCAACTTTTTTCCATTATAAAGCGCAAATTACATAGGTTCCCATGTGGTAACTGGTCAAAACCTTTTCAATTGGGTTGCTGTGATCAAACACCCGAACTATACAAATATCGCTGTTGTTACGTGGTCCAAACACCTAAGAAAAGAGAACAATCAAAATTAAAGCTGTCTAAATTGAGTCGGTACTTAGGTTTTGCTTGTGACGATTTCCCGTAGCATAAAAGTACCAGCGCAATCTTGGTTGACTGCCAAGCGAAATTAGACAGCCTACTGAAGCACACACCAGCCACAGACTGAAACAGGAAAAAAGGGCTGAAATTGCCTATCTCATTCATAAGGATATGTACAACAGTCTTATGGCCTGCTTTAGTGAATGGGTGGTGGCTTTCACGATCATCGCAGCAGTGGATTGCCAGTACAGAATGTCAGAAACATTGTGAAACAACCTATAGGGCTTCTACACAGGAATTTGCTTTCCTCAGAATCAGTCTGTTCGACTAATACACTCATTTGCATAACGGTGGGGTTCTCACGGGACTCCCACCTCTCTCGTCAATGACGTTCTTTTTAAACTGAATGTGCTGCACCAGGCCGCCTCATATTTCAGTTGGTACGATATTCGACATACTGCAATACATTGCACAGACGTAAAAAACTACTCATAAGGTTGCTGAAGACTCTAATTATTGTCAATTATTGTACATTGGACAAATTTAGACGACCAGTTGGAGCTGGAGCTTGTTGGACATTAACCATCGGGGTGTGAGCGGAGGACGTATGGGTATTTTAGGCGATTCATGTAACTCACGGTAAATCCAGAGTGAAAAACATTGTAGTTCGGCGTCGATCAAGCTGCTTGTCAAACATCCATGCTTCAAAATATTTAAAGAACAACTGCTGTGGTGTTCTGTCTAATTCGATAGATGCATAAGTAAGATATCTATCGATAAAACGAGGCAGCTGTGTAATATCTTTTTGCTGTTTGAAAATAAGTTGCCTTATTTGTGTAGAATCAAGTCTAAAACGCGGAATAAATATGTTACGTCTAGCTAAACAGATTCATGCAATGCTAAGAAATGCAAAGCTTCCTCAGTCTAACACTTTGGTGTGGCAGTCACGCCAGATAGCCCCGGTTACTGCTGGTCATTATGAAAACGATAGCCTCTGAGTAACCGAGGTTCGGTTGTTTTGTTTTAGTGTTGACACGTCCGTAACTTTGTCGAACTTAGTGTCTGTGCGTTACCACATATCACTTAATCTTTCTTCCAGGAGGACAGATGGTCATCACCTTCGATATGTAGAAATGACCAGTGGAGTTTCTGGTAAGTCGATTCAGAGTTTTGTTATTAAAGTCTCGTCAACAGACTGGATGTTTGTGAGTGTCTATTCAAAATAGGGACACCTTTGCATGTGTGATAATGTTCGTACTTCCTCTACTATTTCCATCTCTAGTACTTGATCTTTGTCAGTAGTGTGGACAGTTAACAAACAATAACAACACAACCAATAAAACGGAGATTTTCCTGCAATGCAATCAACCAATCTGTGACCATGTTGTAGGATGAGAGCACTTTGTTTTCTCCCTGAATAAGTAGGATAAATTTACACGACGTTTGAGCAGCCACCATGGGTTCATTTCGCTCTGAATAAACATCGGAAACATCTGACGGACAAGCTGCTGCGTATTAGTACGATCCCATTCGCGAGATTTTGTCCCGTTCCTTTGGAATTACCGTTTTGTGTTCACTGTTTTGATGTTTCGAGGAGATGGTTCAGGGGACGAGATGACTCAGTGGTTAAAGCGCGAATTTACTTATCGGAATGTCCGTGGTACGAACCTGACTTCTGCCTCTCGACTTCCCCTGTCTAGGTTTGGGCAACCTGGCAGTATCCCAGCCCTCGTGCTTCCTTCGGGTGGCATGACAGTTAGGCACCAAAAGGGTGCTACAGCTGTACAACTTTATTGTGATGGTGTCTTTAAGTTGACCGAAACTACTAAAACCCTTGAGGCATTTATGTGGATCTTCCTGTGGAACGTAACCGAAATTTCACTACCCACCAAGGGCCAAAAGACAAGGGTATATGAATTCGGCATGCGCCTAATTCGTATTCATCTCCATGCCAGAGCAAAGAAACAGTCAATTCATAGGTGCATACCCTCGGCTGAGTCGGTATGCGAGGTGAGCCTGTCGCCACTGCTCCCCCAACACATGTTGGAGAATCCTTACACCTGAACAGATGGGCGTGTTTATTCTAGTTTTTGCCAGAAGAAGTAAGGTCTACTCATTCTTCGGCAAACTGATCTGTATCTGAAACGCCTAGACTAGAGTGACCGAGAATGGACGGGTAGCAGAGAAGTCAGACATAGTCTCATTCAGCACAACTGGGTGCGGGGCAAAAGTTACGGCAGCGAACAAATCGGGATTCTCACGATGGCTGCTTGGCCTGGTCTTCGAGTACAGTGTGGATGTCCACGGACTAGAATGTGTTCGTGGACGGTATGAGTTGACGCGAAAGTGACTACTAAAGTCGGTCAAAATGGAGTCACGATTGGATGACAACGACGTGATACCTGAATCAGTTGCTGAGCAAATAGTGGGAAGTTCTTTCCCTGAAAAGATACGAACAGACATGGATTATACAAGAAAATGGTTCGCGCCGGAGCGGCAGGAAATCAAATATACGGCTATTAAGTTTCACTTATTTGCACCACACGTAAAGGGAATAAACAACAGAGTTGTGAAAAGTACTTAAAAAACCGTTTAGATTCTGTAACAGCTGATATTATTTGCTTGTCTATAGCAGAACAGTTGAGCAACTCTGGAATCAAACGTTTTTGAGGGTGTTCAATGTATGTTGCAGTAGAAACTATGTCAGATCGTCTCTTAAGAACACACAACAGCCAACTCAGTTTCTCCTCTGAGGCTGTACTTCGAACTTTCCGATAGGTATCGTACAAACATTGAAAATTCGCAGTAACGTGACTGCGCCGGCCTGATGGTTGGTAGTGGATTGCGGAGGATTTTTTAGGAACCTTATGCAAAGTGTCCCGTCAAGAAAATGATGCGCATACTAGTGTATGCACCTAAGGCTAAATACTCATCCTGGATGGAAGGAATACTGGAGGTCCCGTCCAAGAACTGCCCTGTGTGGCTCTTGATAGTCTATACTTCTTGATGGAATCTCAGTAGTATGCACAATAACCACTAACTTTTTTCTTAAAAGAAACTACCAACTTTACTTATCTGTGGGAAGTCCAAACTGGCAACAATAGACGGATCTGATTCACACCGAATTTTCTTTTGTCACCGACAGTCACGATGAAGGATAGTCAAACCCGATAGCTTGCCAGAATACGAAAAGTCAAAGTTGGAAGAAGGCGGATGGCTCCAATCCAAAAAACACTTTCAATACAATCGTTTGGCAGTCGTTTGCCTTGTAGCTGTGAAGACTTCAGACAGGATCAAAATTCTCCTGCTGGAATAATCAATAGGCCGATCCAAATATGGTCCTTGAATGATCAATATCAGACCCGCACAAATAAAAGCGACCCGAAGGCGGCATCACACACTTCCCAGGTGACCCGTCGGCCCAAGTTCATTTGTCGGATTATCCATGTACTCAACATTTTCATCACGTGTTTCGTCCTATGTTTCTTCACTTGTTGTTCCATGTCGCAACTTGCTCGCTGAATATCAAGTTTCCATCTCTCCGCGCTCCACTCAGGCAAGCAAGAATTGTGCATTGGCAAGAACAAATTCGGCTACCGACACGTGTGGTTAGCACCAAAGTCAGTTGATCGCCATTTTGTGGCCACCAAAGCCACAAACAGCGCTCTTTCGTCCTCTGCCGTGGCAACCGTCCTTCCCCAAATTGTTGATTCTTCTTGCTATTTTCACATCCGTTTGGCTTCCCAGCTGTTCATACTCCGGTATACGGTTTAAACAGATAACTATCGATCATGACCCGTTGTCTCCATTGACGTCGGTAATGAAACCGCATGCTTGGTGTGATGACCATAAACCAGTCCCACGTTGTTGTCATGGCCGTACCTGGATGAAAAACGTCAGTAACCGAATGCGTCGCACTGACCAGATACCACGGACAACAGCGCAACCATGGCAGTTCAGTTTTAAAAAGTGTAACCAGGTCCATTTTGTGGATTCTGTATACAGTGCGTACATGCATATATATATATATATATATATATATATATATATATATATATATATATATATATATATATATATATATATATATATATATATATATATATATATATATATATATATATATATATATATATATATATATATATATATATATATATATATATATATATATATATATATATATATATATATATATATATATATATATATATATATATATATATATATATATATATATATATATATATATATATATATATATATATATATATATATATATATATATATATATATATATATATATATATATATATATATATATATATATATATATATATATATATATATATATATATATATATATATATATATATATATATATATATATATATATATATATATATATATATATATATATATATATATATATATATATATATATATATATATATATATATATATATATATATATATATATATATATATATATATATATATATATATATATATATATATATATATATATATATATATATATATATATATATATATATATATATATATATATATATATATATATATATATATATATATATATATATATATATATATATATATATATGCATGTACGCACTGTATGCAGAATGCACAAAATGGACCTGGTTACACTTTTTAAAATTGAACTGCCATGGTTGCGCTGTTGTCCGTGGTATCTGGTCAGTGCGACGCATTCGGTTACTGACGTTTTTCATCCAGGTACGGCCATGACAACAACGTGGGATGGTTTATGGCGAAACTACTAAAACCCTTGAGGCATTTATGTGGATATTCCTGTGGAACGTAACCGAAATTTCACTACCCACCAAGGGCCAAAAGACAAGGGTATATGAATTCGGCATGCGCCTAATTCGTATTCATCTCCATGCCAGAGCAAAGAAACAGTCAATTCATAGGTGCATACCCTCGGCTGAGTCGGTATGCGAGGTGAGCCTGTCGCCACTGCTCCCCCAACACATGTTGGAGAATCCTTACACCTGAACAGATGGGCGTGCTTATTCTAGTTTTTGCCGGAAGAAGTAAGGTCTACTCATTCTTCGGCAAACTGATCTATATCTGAAACGCCTAGTTTTGATTCATAATCTGGTTCTGGCGTCAGCTGTCCGCTTTGTTCATGTGATTATATATATATATATATATATATATATATATATATATATGCATGTACGCACTGTATGCAGAATGCACAAAATGGACCTGGTTACACTTTTTAAAATTGAACTGCCATGGTTGCGCTGTTGTCCGTGGTATCTGGTCAGTGCGACGCATTCGGTTACTGACGTTTTTCATCCAGGTACGGCCATGACAACAACGTGGGACTGGTTTATGGTCATCACACCAAGCATGCGGTTTCATTACCGACGTCAATGGAGACAACGGGTCATGATCGATAGTTATCTGTTTAAACCGTATACCGGAGTATGAACAGCTGGGAAGCCAAACGGATGTGAAAATAGCAAGAAGAATCAACAATTTGGGGAAGGACGGTTGCCACGGCAGAGGACGAAAGAGCGCTGTTTGTGGCTTTGGTGGCCACAAAATGGCGATCAACTGACTTTGGTGCTAACCACACGTGTCGGTAGCCGAATTTGTTCTTGCCAATGCACAATTCTTGCTTGCCTGAGTGGAGCGCGGAGAGATGGAAACTTGATATTCAGCGAGCAAGTTGCGACATGGAACAACAAGTGAAGAAACAGGACGAAACACGTGATGAAAATGTTGAGTACATGGATAATCCGACAAATGAACGTGGGCCGACGGGTCACCTGGGAAGTGTGTGATGCCGCCTTCTGGCCGCTTTTATTTGTGCGGGTCTGACATTGATCATTAAAGGACCATATTTGGATCGGCCTATTGATTATTCCAGCAGGAGAATTTTGATCCTGTCTGAAGTCTTCACAGCTACAAGGCAAACGACTGCCAAACGATTGTATTGAAAGTGTTTTTTGGATTGGAGCCATCCGCCTTCTTCCAACTTTGACTTTTCGTATTCTGGCAAGCTATCGGGTTTGACTATCCTTCATCGTGACTGTCGGTGACAAAAGAAAATTCGGTGTGAATCAGATCCGTCTATTGTTGCCAGTTTGGACTTCCCACAGATAAGTAAAGTTGGTAGTTTCTTTTAAGAAAAAAGTTAGTGGTTATTGTGCATACTACTGAGATTCCATCAAGAAGTATAGACTATCAAGAGCCACACAGGGCAGTTCTTGGACGGGACCTCCAGTATTCCTTCCATCCAGGATGAGTATTTAGCCTTAGGTGCATACACTAGTATGCGCATCATTTTCTTGACGGGACACTTTGCATAAGGTTCCTAAAAAATCCTCCGCAATCCACTACCAACCATCAGGCCGGCGCAGTCACGTTACTGCGAATTTTCAATGTTTGTACGATACCTATCGGAAAGTTCGAAGTACAGCCTCAGAGGAGAAACTGAGTTGGCTGTTGTGTGTTCTTAAGAGACGATCTGACATAGTTTCTACTGCAACATACATTGAACACCCTCAAAAACGTTTGATTCCAGAGTTGCTCAACTGTTCTGCTATAGACAAGCAAATAATATCAGCTGTTACAGAATCTAAACGGTTTTTTAAGTACTTTTCACAACTCTGTTGTTTATTCCCTTTACGTGTGGTGCAAATAAGTGAAACTTAATAGCCGTATATTTGATTTCCTGCCGCTCCGGCGCGAACCATTTTCTTGTATAATCCATGTCTGTTCGTATCTTTTCAGGGAAAGAACTTCCCACTATTTGCTCAGCAACTGATTCAGGTATCACGTCGTTGTCATCCAATCGTGACTCCATTTTGACCGACTTTAGTAGTCACTTTCGCGTCAACTCATACCGTCCACGAACACATTCTAGTCCGTGGACATCCACACTGTACTCGAAGACCAGGCCAAGCAGCCATCGTGAGAATCCCGATTTGTTCGCTGCCGTAACTTTTGCCCCGCACCCAGTTGTGCTGAATGAGACTATGTCTGACTTCTCTGCTACCCGTCCATTCTCGGTCACTCTAGTCAAACCAGCACACATTTCCTTGATTCGTTCCTCTCCTGCCAGTACAGCAACTTCTCCCGCGCTGCAAAGGGGATCCCATACACGCAACTGGGATGATATGATTCGTCCTAGAACCACCAGTGATCTGGCGGCCACAAAAAGACCACTCTTTTTGAACAGCCTAATTCGTTTGGCTAGTGAGTCATTTCACAATGGTTCTTCATCGTCGACCCCAATTCCTTCGATGCTCCTGAGATCCGTAGTCCATCCACAACAGAACATTAAAGCATTTTGTGCCCCGACCCGTCCACATTCTGGAAGGCCCAAATCCTATTCAACCAGTTCAAACAGAAACCACAAACAACCGGCAGCAGATTCGTCTGAAGGCGATATAACTCTTCGTCCACGAGCTAACACTGTTGCTTCGGATCGGTCTATGGGACGACGAATCGCGGTTGCTCTGGTAAATTTTGGGGCCAGAATCCGGCCCAGAACCAAGTCTGCTAGTTCCGCCTCGATGGACAGAGTCAGTTGCAATCCACCAACAAACTCTCTTTCGCCACACGTTGATGGGCATGTTGTTCAGTTACCGTCTCAGTTTAGATGTTACGCTAATCCATTTGAATGTGATGAACGGATGAACAAAGAGCTTTCACGAGCAATGACCATATACAGTGTCTCAGCGTTAAATCTCAGTGACCATTATCTAGTTTATGAGTATTTTTAGATGCTTTCGAAATTTTCATACTCAGGTTGGTACATTGTGTTTGAAGGAATTTAAATGCCAGCTTGTCCCAGCCCATTTCCTCCAGATGCAGCTAGTTCTTCTATACTCATATACAATTCATCCTAAAATCATTGGCGAATGGAACCAAACTTTCACTGTCAGCCATCGGTCTTTCAATTGTTGATGCTACGCCCGATTTTCTACTTTTATTGATTTGCAATATACAATTCATATGGGGCTTTTTTTAAACCAGTACTGGGTAGTTGGAATTGTGGCAAAGATTCTTCGGGCACCAAGGTCGAAGTAAGACTTTCCAGTTTTGATCTTACTATGACGAATAATGTGTACCTTGACGAACTAGCTGACATTCAGCCCTCGTTATTCGACAAAAAGATGCGACCCTAGGAAAAGGTTGTGATCTAAAGTGGGTTGGAGTATCAAATTGTATAATCTCAGAGCACCATATTCAATAGTTTCCAGGACGCTCAGTGGTTTTCCAGTAACCGAAGGATGGCGTTAGTTGATTTCTCACCTTTAGTGTTACTACTCCTGATTTTGTCAGCTCCTTCGCATTAAACCAGTGAAAGTCTCACCTGCCCTTCCCCAAACAGATTGTCTGGAATGAAAGTTGGATGATTCAAAGCATTGTTCCGCTGACTATGGAACCAACCGATGATCCATTTCGATGGTGTAAGCATAAATCTGTGCGAATACCCTGTTATTCGCCATGTGGATTTATTATTAGTTTATCTACTAACCGTGTTAGGCGGAATTCCGCTTTACTGCTCGCTAGTTAGGCGCTGCTACGGCCAAGTCGCGTATCACGCGCGCGACTGGCCAAAAGATCGGGCCACTCGCCAGCCCAGCAACAACGCAATTGGTCGAAAGTTTTAGCCCAACAGCCAATCATGATCCAGTATCTGCCGATGGTGTGCCCAGGCGTCGGAATTTCCAGAATGTTGTCGCCACATACACTTTATAAACGACGCACTGTACATGCGTTTTTGACCGTGTTTTTGGGCGTTACGACATGTTGTGTTCCTTTGATCGGAGCAACAGCTTGGAACGTTCAAACCGAGAACTAAGCGGGGAAAATATCGCTACTACAATCCTACATCAGTGTGATGGTTTTATCAGTCACCCTTGGGTTATGTCTGCTTGTGCTCTGGTGCATAACCGTTAGGGGTAGTTGATCTACCGAGAGAAACTCCGGTGACAAACATTTCCACATTTATGAAGGCAGTTATGTTTAACTCCATTCATTCTCTGGACAGATCACTCCTTTCAGCCAGTTGGATCAGCCTAATGAGTGATAGGCTCTAGGAATTGCCCCCCCCCCCAGAAAATCCTACTGCCAGCTACCTGACGGGTTAGACTTATGAGGTGTAGCACCTCAGCCAATCCACCTATCCGGCCTGAGCACTCGGGGAGTATCATTCAGCTCCTCGCCTACGGCCCCACACCCTTTCCTAACCATCGAATTTTGCAGAGCGACCAACCCATCTGCCATTGTTTCGTGTCCAAACCACCGCCAAAATAATCACTTACTAACCTCAAAGTATCTGATCCACGTTGCAACCTTCATTGTCCGTACTCTCTGCCGGGCAACAGCTATCCCTTTCTGAAAACTTGCTTCTCTCTGTCGATATATATTTGTCCCCGAAACACCCATACAAGACCCCCACTTTGGTCGTGCACCTCAAGCCGCCTAAGACGAGCTCAGGTGTTCCACATTTCACTCTTCGGGTATCGGGTGAGTGTGGGAGTTATACTCAGTGCTTCACTGGACTAAATCCTAGTAAACTGTTGCGTCTGCTGTGCGGTTGTCGGGTTCACTTGAGATCAACCCAGGTCGATGCGGAAAGTGGCGTTTATTTGTCGTATCAGCATACGCACTGGCAGACTGAAGTTGTGTGACTGATAAAAACCGGTTTTATAAAGACCTGTCGTGACTGCTTCGGTCAGCAAAAAGCAGGGATACAGTAATACTGGCTTGTGATATGAGTGTTGGGGTTGAATGACCCAGGCCGGGAGAAGCACAATAGGATGATCGATTTGGAGTCGATGCTCAGTGTACTGATACTGGAGAGCTGCTGCTTCAGTTGTATGCTGATCACCATTTGTTCGTGGCCAGCAGGAGCTCCCAGTACAAACGCGCACACCCGAGATACTTGGAAGCCACCAACCGCAAGACAGTCATCGACCCACTTGACCACATGTCTGTCCGTTACCGATGGACAGCCTCAATTATAGTTTGTTTTTCGTTCTGGAGTACGCAACTTGACTGTGATCGTGACAATGTGCAAGTTCGGTCATCGCTTCACTTTCTCTCCGGATTACACAGGCCGAATTCCGTCCTCAGCTCCAGTAAGTTTCATTAACTCAACAGTATCGAGTTGGTCTGGCTGGAAAGTACAATAGCACTGCAGATCTTGAAACTACTAATTATTCATTTGTCAAATCCGATGACCTCGACAGGCAGTCCTAAAATCCCAGAGCATTACTGGGAGCCCTGGTGGATTTCGAAGACTGAAGAGCTGAAATTGCCTTCGCTTCATGCAAAAGCCACTTCCTAATTCAGCTGACTCGACAAACCGACCAAAGAAGGGCAAGTGTCCGCCAAACGCTTCTCGAAGTAGATGGAATGGTAATTCATCCGCAGAATCGTCGTTTCGAGCAACGTGCTTCGAAGAACACTTCAGTATGGTTTCTGAAAAAACCCTGTATCTCCAACAGAAATTGCAGGACGAGATGCCATTAACCCTAAGCGACAAGGCACCCGATCTTTATGGTTTATACGTTGCGCTTTTCAAAAGTAGTTAAGCTCTGGTGACCAATCTGACAGCTGTACTGTGGAGGATTCGGAACGATTTAAGAATGTCGGCGGAATAGTACCTGCACCTTGATCCACGTCTTCAAAAATGACCCCATAACATAATGAAGATCACATGCCTTGTGGGCGGGGCATTCAAAGTCACCTCTGGGTCTATTGTCGGGAGAGAAAGGTTCCTGAAAATCTAGCTGGATTTCGCAATGTGCCGGGAGGCGTTGTCCATATCTTGACTTGAGACAAGTTCTTGAATAGTACCATTCTTTGGAACGTATCGTATTGGTCGTTTTTTTGAAGCTGAAAGCTGCTCTTGACTCTGTCGATCGTCAGTGTATGGCCATCCCTTTCAAACTTGTATGCCTTATGAGGATACTGCACGCTAAATCTTGCGGACGGATACAAGTATTTGGCAGGCCTTCTCCTGAATTCAAGGGGCTCATTGGTACAAGACAAAGTTTCCCTCTCTCACCTTTTCTCTCCAAGTTTTCTATTAATGGGATTTTTGAAATTTCTCTTCCTGCCTCTGAAACCTCGGGACATTCACTCACAAAAATTGAATAGGCGGAGAATATTACTCTCCTTGGTTCTGATCCTTAAAAAATGCAAGCCATTTTAGATAACCTAAATGTTCCATTGCACGGTTTTGCGCGTACTTCACACTGCAAGATTTAAAGGGATGCTACGAGACTGGTTGGCATCGAACACAAACCTTATGCTTTCAGACGAGCCATTCAGTGTGGTAGATAAGTTTGTTTACCTGGGTAGTTTTATAAGTTCCGGTGCAATGACTGCAGACCAGATTACTTCTCGAACCCTGAAGGTCCTGGTAGCTTTTGCAAGCCTCTGACACCTACGTCGTCCACATGAAATCAGTTTGCCTGTCAAGCGTGACAGTGCAATTTATGCTGCTTCATGGATCAGAAACGTGGACTCTACTTGCAGGAGACGCAGAAAGGATGTCGGCGACTTCAAACTGTTGGAGGGGTCTTGTGGTAGCTTTGGATTAGTAATGCGGAGGTACACTGGGAGGAGGAAGAAAGAACTCTCCCGCGATAGTTTACTTACTCACGCGTCATAGATTATGCTAGTTAGGAGACGTGCTGTGCATGCCACGGGACTGACTGTCTCTCAGAGCTTTTCTCAGCCAGTACTGTGCTGAGTGGAAGCGACCTAGCGGTAGATGGTGTATGACCCGGCAATAATCAGCAAACTCTGCCGCCTCTGTAGATACGCGCTCCGGGACTCAGCTCAACAGTGGTTAATGACACTAGCAGAAATGGCCCAATGACGCAGTCAATGGCACTCGGCATATTTAGGGTACAGCATCCCACCGACCTGCTGTGAAGACAGAGAGGTTTCAGTTTCCAGAGTTCCGCTAGCATTTGAAAACAAACAACAAATTACAATACAATGCAACCACAGCCCTGGTTGCATGTGGTGTTGCAGTGTTCGTAATTCGACTCCGTGAAATCACGAGGCCAATATTTCTGCACTACTTTTCACTTTACAGTAGTAACGGCAGTTGCACTAATAAGATAGTGATCGTCATTAAATCAGTTGATCAAAGAAAAGATTTGAATCACGCTGTCGGGATTATGTACCATGCGTACATTGCAATGCGATATTTCACCCACGTTCTATAAGGGTTCATGGGCGACGTCAGCTTACTGCCAACGACCCACTGCGGCGAATCGAGATGAATTTCAGCCGACCGAGAGCAGGTGTTCTGTTGATCGGATAACGCCTGGGCAAATGGACGGCGTTTGACGGTCTCACCCACTGTGTTGGTTAGAGGGGCATATGTGCCGGGATCGGCGCGTCTCTGAGTGTTCCAAAACCAACTAACATGATGGCGGCCATAGCAAGAACATAGTGGATGTGGCCATCAACACTGTCCAGCTGCGCAGGTAACTTGCGGTCTACAGTACAACTGCTACCGGTTGGCCTAGTTTAACCGCGTCCCGCCAAACTGAGCTGTATGCGGTTAGCTGAGGTCGCTCCTGGGCTGGTGAGAATGTGGTCACAATATGGTGTCTCAATGTGCACGTGCAAGCAGGTTGCTGTCATTCGATCCCTCTGAAAGGTGTGTAGAATGCGGCGTTTGTACAACTCGACCGGTGTTTTTTATACTAAAAATGGCTGGTTTTCTGGGCTGCCTGTATGTATGTAACAGAGTGTTAATCTAAGAGTGGGGTTCCTGTTTGTTAATAATTTGACAGTGAGTTCAGACATATTCTTGATATTGGGACTATCTGTATGTAACAGAGTGTTAATCTAAGAGTGGGGTTCCTGTTTGTTAATAATTTGACAGTGAGTTCAGACATATTCTTGATATAAATTGGGACTATCCATC